GAACGACCCTTTCACAGGGGTTGCCTAAGACCATCCTGCATATCAGATATTTACATTACGATTCATAACAGTAGCAACATTACAGTTATGAAGTAGCAACGAAAATAATTTTATGGTTGGGTTACAACATGAGGAGCTGTATTTAAAGGGCCAGAAGGTTGAGAACCACTGGGTTAGGGGGTGATCAGCCTGGCAGGTAGAAGCGGTTAGGGGCAATCAGGCAGGCAGGCAGGCGAGCAGTTAGGAGCCAGCAGTCCCGGATTATGAGAGGGATCCTAGATTGGAGAGGGTGCAGGCTAGGCTGAGGGACACATACACCACCCCCTGTGCACAAATTTTGTGCACCCGGCCTCTAGTCTATCTAATAATAGGATAATATGCAAATTGGTTGGGACACTGACACTTAATGACCAATCAGCAGGGTGCGTCCCCGCCCCCTGTGCCAGCCCGGAGACATGAGGCTTGCATCCCTGCCCCCTGCAACAGTCCTGGGACGTGAGGCTCGCATCCTTTCCCTTGTGCCGGCCCGGAGACATCAGGCTTGCGTCCCCGACCCTGGCAACAGACCCTGGGATGTGAGGCTCACGTCCATGCCCTCTGCGCCGGCCTGGGGGTCCACAGGCGCACGGAGGTCCGCAGGCCTCCACCACAGCCCATCCCGGGGTTGGGGCCACGGCGGGGCCTCTGTGCACCTGCGCCAGGGGTCCGCAGGCCTCCGCTGGCTTTGGCCTACCTCTTTGGGGTAATCCATTGAGGAGCCCCGGATGGGTGGGCAGGACCTACCTCTTTGGGGCGATGGATCATGGGGTTCCCGCACTGTGCCAGGGCACAGGCCAGGCTGGGGGAACCCGCCCCCCCCCCCCCCCCCCCCCCGACCCTGAGTGCATGAATTTCATGCACTGGGCCACTGGTGTCTAAATAAAATCACATATTTAGGAGGAACAAGTTTTACTCAAAGCAATAGCTCCATCAGAAAGTTACAATTGAAATGGTTGAAATGAGCACATTATAAATAATGTTTAATTATATGAGATTTTTTTAAACTTTGCTTCTCATCTTTAACATTTATCCCACTTGTGTGTATGCACTGTATATAGAATGTAGCATAATGATTTGCCCTTCCTAATTGATTTTTTTGTCATCTTTTTCTTTTTTTCTTTTGCTTTACTTGGGTTCATTCTGAAATGTGACACTTCATTTGGCCCTTTGCGCTCTATGTCAGCGTCTTCAACTATATGGATACCATTCACCTACTAATAGTGTATGTACAATACTTTAAATATTCTTTATATGAATATCCCTCCCTGTTATACTTGATCATGTTATTTTGTTATCTAAAACTATATCTGCTACTGAAATGTTTAGGAATTTATTGAATATGATAAGATACAACCAAGCCAAATTTTTTTTTTATTTCCTCCCTATATTTATGAAAAGACTAAAATTTACAGAGTAATTGTATAACTTTAACTTTAGGTTGAAATAAAGAAAGGATGAGTGAACAACAACCAGCAACTCTGGTAAACAATTGAAATTTTAAAATTTTCAGCAGTTTTTGAAGAGTTAAATACAAATTATGGAGCAGATTTTCAGACTATGCTCCTGCAAACACAGGCATTTTAAGAATTAGGTCTGCGTATCTGACATACGTTATTTTCTCAATTCTAATACAGAGGTATCTTAATGGATAGACTTTTCTTAGTTTTCAGTATTTCTCCCAATTTTTTTTCTAAAACCTTTGATGCCTGCCTATCACCTATGTTCTATACAAAATTCTGGTATAAGATGACATTAGATATGTTTAATCTATCAATGTATCATGTTATTTCTCAAAGAGGATTATGATTTTCAGACTCTTCTTTTCCTGATGAAGTTAGGAGTTCTGTAAATGATCTTCCAATATACTCTTCTTATGCTAAGCTTTCTTCTTTGCTTTCTCCTGGAAAGTTGAGCTTGTTGGTTAGCCCAGCTACTAAACAACTAAGAGTAGTCCATGCCCCTTTTAAATGTAAACATGCAGGATTCATTTAATTTCCCCAAGGTTAGAAAGATCCCTCAAATTACATAAGTTCCACCTGAGAGTAGGCCTTTGAATTCAGGGTGATGGACTCAGTATAATGCAGGTCAGAGAGTTCAGTTATAGTGTGCAACTCTGTAAGCAACTGTGCTGCCTCCTGTGTTGGACAATCAAAAGTTCAAGGCACAAAACCTGACTCTGTTCTAGATTTGAACATATGCTGGAGGCCGATTTGGCATAACATAAACCTCAGATACCTTGCCAAAGTCGCAAGGAGTGGACCTAGAATGGGTTGGCAAACAAGCCAAGTCCATGGGACCCTTAGGACAGACTTGTTATTTTGATTCTTTACAAGATACTTAAATTTTTTTCTACAAAATTCATGACTGTTTGTCTTTAAATATGGTCTATCATTTTCTTAAAATTTTGAAAAGATTCCTCTATTAATCATTTCAAAAATTGGTAAGAATATGAAAGATAAATATCTTATAGTTTATAATACCATATGTCTTGTGAAACTTAATAAATGTTAATACTTATGACTTTATTATTTATTTTTCTAATCTGTCATTGCATGAGCCATTTTCCAACTATGGCAATTTATAGTTTTCCTTTAAATTCATGATAATGTTTTTTTAAAAAATGCAAGCAAACAAGGAAAATTTATTTAAAATTAGAAAAAATTCAGATAGCCTAAAAGTTTATATGAAATATGATTGGTGTATGTATTGCACAAATATATTATTATAATATTATGAATTAACTGGTAATTATCTGCTAGTTTCCAGAGCTGTAGATGAACTGAAATGATCAAGTATATAATTTGAGTATAGTTCATGGAGCTGAATATAACATAAGATTCTACCCTTAGGAAGAAGTTCCTCAGTAAAGGCAGAAGCCCTCCTGACTTTACTATAGAGACAGAGATTCTGTGTCCTCTGTCGGACCCTGTCCCAAAACTTAACTGCTCCTGCAGTAGGTTCTACCTGTATTCTGTCAAGTTCTTGTTTGCTATGTTTCTTGCTTCAGTATTCATAAGGATCATTACCTTATACCTTTCTGTTCCAAACAACCCTGATTCTTTTCATATTTCTGATATAGCCAACTCTTGATTATCTTACCATTGTAATGAAAAGATATATTAAAAATTCAAAAGACTAAATAATGCAAAAGTGAAGTATATTTGATTTTGGTATGCCTTATGTGACTTTTTTAAGTACTTAAAGATTATCTTAATTACCCTATATCCATTGTAGTAAAAAAATGTACTAGCTTTTATACAATTTTTTGACACATGTTGAGATGTGTTTTATGGACTAAAACAATGTTAATATTCACAAATGATCTGTGTTTGAAAAAAATGTGTATGTTCTAATTTGGGGTATAGGGTTATATTTTTAAGAGAGATATCAAAACATATTAGAACAAACTCTTTAATTAAATGTTTTAAATCTGTTATTTCTAATGTTTTTGTCTGCTTAATCTTTTAGTTAGTATGTTAAATTATATGTTACAATGATAGACTTGTCAATTTCTACTTATAATTATGTTATTTTTTATTTTATATACTTTTGAACATTGTTATTGCCTATTTGAGAATATAAATTACTTATGTCTTTTTAATGAATTGACTCTTCTATAATATACTAGCCCTAGATATCTAGAAATGTTTTTGTCTTAAAATCTATTTTATTGTTAAAATAAATATACCACCTTTATTTTTATTAATATTTTGTTATTTTTGTATTTTGTGGGTTTTTTTATTTTCTATTTTTCCCTCTAATGATGATAAAGCTTTTCCTGATTTTTAAAATATATTTTTAGTTCAGAAATTTACTGTAAATAAAATAAATAATAATAAAAGTTTGACAACAATATAGCTAAAAAATAAACTTGCCATGCCCCCAAAAGCTCCTTATATTGTCTCTCTAATGATAATTCTTTCCTCTTCTCCAAAAGATAACTACAGAAATGTCTTTTATGTAAACCATTTCTTTGGCTTTGCAGTTTTACCACCTACTTATGTATGCATCATAAATCATATAATTTAGTTTTACCCATTTTAGAACTCATATAAATGGGATCATATATATGAGTTTCTTCTTTGACTCAACATCATGATTGTCCATTTCATTTTCATTGTTGTATGTAGGTCGAGCTCATTCACTGTTATTGCTGTAAGCAGCAGTTTTCAAACATTTTGGTCTCAGAACCCCTTTACATTGTTGAAAATTGTTGAGGACCCTAAAGAGCTTTTGTTTGTATTGGTTATATCTATCTATATTTACTACTATTTACCATATTAGAAGTTACAACTGAGAAATTTAAAAATATTTATTATCCTTTTAAAATAAAAGCTCACATGTTAACGAACATTTTAATGAAAAATAACTCCAAAAATGTAGTGAGAATAGTGGCATTTTACATTCTTTGCAAATCTATTTAATATCCGGCTTCATAGAAGACAGCTGGTTTCTCATAGATGCTTCTGCAAGTCAAGCTGTTGCAGTATGTTATTTTGGCAACAAATACTCTCAATTGCTTCCCTTGGAGTGACAGGATCACTTGGTTCACTTAAAAAAAAAATGTCTGCCAGATACCAAAGTCTAAACTACCATAGTTTGTCTATCAGTTATTCTTTCAAGTAAAAATGATTGTTCATGAAAAAAAAGTGGCTACTTTCCTTTTCAACACAAACCGTCACACAAATGTTTTTTTTCTGAAGACAATCATATGACTTTAGTAGGCAGGGGAAGTGCTTTATGCATGCTTCCAGTCTCACCACACCAAATATTGAAAAGATGTATGCTCAAAGGTCAGTTTAACAAAATTGTCAGTTTATTCTTCAGCAAGTACATTCTTTTTCTTTCTTTCTTTTGAAATTAAAACTTTTTAATTTAAATTCTTTATTGTTTAAAGTATTAGACAATCATATGACTTTAGTAGGCAGGGGAAGTGCTTTATGCATGCTTCCAGTCTCACCACACCAAATATTGAAAAGATGTATGCTCAAAGGTCAGTTTAACAAAATTGTCAGTTTATTCTTCAGCAAGTACATTCTTTTTCTTTCTTTCTTTTGAAATTAAAACTTTTTAATTTAAATTCTTTATTGTTTAAAGTATTACATAAGTCTCCTTTTCCTTCATCAGTTTCTCTGACTGACTAATTTCGCTTAGCATAATGCTCTCCAGTTCCATCCATGCTGTTGCAAATGGTAGGAGTTCCTTCCTTTTTAACCACCTTCACCCACTGCCCATTTCTTCCCCACCTCAGGCAACCACTCATCTGTTATGTTTCTATGATTTCGGGGTGGTTTTTTTCTGATTTCTAATTGAGGTATGATTGACATATAACATATTGGTTTCAGGTATACAACATACTGATTCAATATATGTATATATTTTGAAAGATAATTTTACTAGGTATATTGTTATAGGTTGACACTTATTCTCAGCAAATTATGATATCATTCCAGACTTCTGGCTTCTATTATTGACATTGAAAAGTCAGTTCTAAGTCTAATTATTATTCTTTTGTAGATAATCTGTTTTCTTTCTTGCTACTTTTAAGATTTTTTTTTGCCTTTGGTATTCTACAATTCTATAACATCCTTTTTACTATTACCTGTTATGAAATTTATTGAACCTCTCAAATATGAAGATTGTTTACTTTTATTCTTTAATATTTACTGAACTATCTGTCTTTTACCTCTGTTAATAAAGGCGTAGACCTACCTTACACTCTGATAAGGAGGCCTAAAGTTCACAGAGTCATCAGAGACACTAAGACTGAAGAAATTCTTTGCCAGTTTTTCTACTATTTGCATATCAAAACATTATAATACCTGTTTTATAATCACAGCACACAGTTATATTTGGGCATATTCCTCTATCAGTCTTTCCTTAGCCTGCATGTGTATGATCTGATTTTGTGTTTGCTTTGCATTTCTTGCTATTAAAATCTATTCTAATTTTTATGGCTACCTTAAGTTTATTTTAAATATTCTATTATATCTTTCTGGTATTAAAGATTTCTACTAGTTTTGCAGGTTCTGAAAATTTACTCTTAATTATATCATCCAAGCCATTAATTAAATAATAAAATATTGGCTCCTGAACAGACACACATATAGGAATCTATGACTGTGCCAGGAAAACCACTGATATATTAGCCATATTTCCCTGCAATTGCATACCATATATTTATTTAACACAAGGCATGATAGTAGTTGCTGTGAGAACATTGCCCCTTCCCTCAGAAACTTTATAATTTAAAAGACTCTTTAATGCAGTCATTCTGTTGTATATTCTAGCAAAATTTAACCTGAAGCTAAATAAAAAGTGGGGAAGCTTTCTGCAGGAGGTGACTATTAAGCTGTTATGGTCTAAATAAGACTTTTATTTTGTTTTAAAAAGTGATATATATTATCTTCGCTCTAACCAGTTTGGCTCAGTGGATGGAGCTTTGGCCTGTGAACTGAAGGGTCCCAGGTTCGAGTCCGGTCAAGGGCATGCACCTTGGTTGTGGGCACATCCCCAGTGGGGGGTGGGGGGGTGCAGGAGACAGCTGATGGATGTTTCTCTCTCATGGATGTTTCTAACTCTCTATCCCTCTCCCTTCCTCTCAAAAAAATCAATAATATGTATTTTTTAAAAAGTGATATATTATCCTGATATATAAATACACATTCTTATTTTAAAATATAGCAACGCGAAAAGGAGAAAATAAAAAACATTCTAATGCCACCATTCAGAGGTAATCAGTATATTGGAGTATACTTACCTCTTTTCTATGCACAGGAAATATGTTTTTTCTATAGAGATCCAGGTCAGTAAAGTTTATAAAATTGATTTCATCCCTTAACAGGTTGTAAATATTTTTCTAATGTCATCACTGTGTGTGTGTGTGTGTGTGTGTGTGTGTGTGTGTGTGTGTGTGTGATGTTGACAAGTGTTTGGAAGTAGGGAAGAGGCTTCACAAAGCAAGTCATTCCTGTAACCCTCCTAAGAATAATATAGTAAGTCTTATTTTCTAGCTTGATAGATTTAATCATCCTTTTCTTTATCATATATTAACCTTCTGAGTTACAATTTAAAAGTATATCCATGTTCAAAATGTTTAGATAATATTTGCACACTATTTAATCTGGCTACCATTTATTGAGGTTCTACCATACCTATATAAAAGAAAGTGAACTGTATTAGTTCTATATTCAGCTCATTTTACTTATTTAGCTTATAATTTTAGTTAAAGCTTGTTTAGTTACTAAAGGGGGTGATGAGCAAAATGTCATATGGCTAAACTTACACTTATGGTAATAAATATGCCCATGTTATATACGTGACTCCTGCTGAATAATACTATACTATTAACATATTTAAAGATTTTATTCAAATATGGGCAATAGGCAGTGCTTTCAAGTTAATAATGAATTGAAACTTGGATCTTTGAAATAATTCTCAGATGCGTTATAATTTTATTAGTGGCATCAGACTTTTAAAAATTAACACACACACACATAAATAAAAGTGCTCTTATCATCAGCTGCTACTCCTAAGTGTACCGTGCTACATTTTCTTCCCACAATAATCAAAAAATCCCAAGCCCGAGAACCTGGGAAGCCTTCCCTGGTAAATCTGGACAGAAACTTACATTTAATTATTTTTGAGTCTTTATAAAGTCTTACGCTTGTAGTTCTGCATTTTCATATGAAGATTAGACTACACTTCTTAGTCTAGATATCCTCTTCTTCAGACTAGCCAATACTGAGGTAGAAACTAGTGTTCTCTCCTTATGGTAAATAGCAAGTACCTTATATGTAGTATATGTCATAGATATATGTAGTATATATCTACAGACACACCTATCAAATCCCTGAAGAGCTTTGAGTAAACTGGCTTATTTCTTTTTGACAAATTTCAGATTAGTTTAAATTTTGTTTCTCTAAAGTGTAGATATGGTCATTTTGATTCTTTGATGCACTAACACAATGTATGCCAGCCAACAATAATTTTTTTAAAATTAATCATGGTTTTTATTGGTTGCTACAAAATTCCCCAGATCTTCTACAGATGAATTGACTTCACATCAGGCATGAATAAAATTTTTATTTCACACTTTCTTAGAAGTTACACATGTTTCAGTAGAAGGGCATGGGGGAGGGGTGAAGAATATGATTCTTTTTGACAAAGCCACATTGTACTTAGAAAGAGTGGTTATATACCATTACACCTTTGAAAATACCCAGGGTTTACCGGCAATGTAATATAATACTGTTGTGTGCAGCAGAAAACAAAAGAAGGTAAGCTAATGTGTTTTCTTTTCAAGGTTGGGTGAAAAGATTTAAAGTGTATAAATTGTCATTCTTTGTGACTACCTTTTAGATTTCAGTTGTGCTTCTTAAAACTTCTACAGGTACTTAAACCAGATGCTGAGGAACTTGTCTCCAGAAGCTACTGGGATACATTGAGACGTAATACAAGCCAAGCACTGTTTTCAGACCTCGCAGAGGTATAATTAAACCTCGACCAGGTCGTCATATTATTTGCCATTTTGTTAATCTCGGTCTTGTTTTATTTTAGAGTCATAATGATGGAGCCAAAGATATATTTTATATTTTTCCTTTCCTCCAGTAAAGCAGTAATTTCTTTGTGTAAGTGGTGTATTTGAGTATGTCAGCTATGCTTGGCAGAGACTGCAAGGTTACCTATATCTATGTTAAATCAACTTGCTTGTTGTAGAAAACATGACTTTCCAACTTAATTAAAAGGAAGTATTGTTATTTTTAACTTAAGAAAATTTGAAAATGCTGTTTCATAGTTTCACAGATTCTTCTATCCTTACAACTTGCAATATTTCATGAAATGATGAAACTTAACTTTGGTAAAAGATAGCTAATTGCTAGAGTTACGGAAGATTTAAACAATTAAGTTTCCTAATATCAATAGAGAGTAGCTTAGTGTGGAGCACGTGTGGTAGAAGCAGTCAAGGAAAGGAGAACATTTCCTCTTGACATTGTTTAGTGCGTGGAAAATAAAAAGCACACCAACTGTTATTCATGCTGGTTTTGAATTTTATAGAGACACACACCTTATTGCTCCTACCACCCCGCTCTGATTATGCCACTCTTCATAGGGATTTGTCATTTTAAAAGATGGGCTGTGTCTTGTAGATTAAACACTAATTTATGTTTTTTAAATAATCTTTTTCTTGTTGACTTGAGAGACAGAAACATCAGTTTGTTGTCCCACTTATTTATGCATTTATTGGTTCATACATGTTTGTGCCCTGATCAGTGATCGAACCTACAACCTTGGTTCGATCAGGACGTTGCTCTAACCAACTGAGCTACCTGGCCAGGAGTTATTTTATGGTTTCTATTGAGATTTTTTTAAGAACTTTTTTAGAGATGGCTATCATCTTACCACAAAGGACTTTTCAGTAAATACTAACAGATATATCTCTCATTAGCTTTTTCTTTGTAAAGTTGATTTCTCATTTCTTTTTCTAAAGTTTGACTTTTAAAAGTTACACCTAAAAATATCTAGAGAAGTAAACTGGATTAGGTGTAATTTCTGTTATTTATATATACAGTGTTACTTTAGACTAGGGCAAACACTTAGAAATGTTGGTTTTTTGTCAGTTGTGTTCAGTTTTAAAGTCCCAAAAGAAATAAAGCTTTTCCCCTATCTTTAAACTGTGTTTGATATATCAATATGGTATAATTATGGTGAGCAATTACTCTTTTAAATTACCTTTTAAATTTGAACTATTTTTAGGCAGGAAGTGGTAATAGACGTTCCACTTATAGATAATTTAGAGGTACTTAGTTCTAATCATCTGTGCAGACACACATTGGAAGTGCTTAATTCTGTGATCATTTGTGCAGGCACAAAGCGAAGGCACTACTGTGAGCCTTTACTTTCCAGAGCCTAAGAGTAAGAGCCACTTGGGACACCAGCCCTTCGAGCCTCTATGAGCCACTGTGGCCTCGCTTCTAGTCAAGTCTAGTCAAGTCACTGTTGTCCCTCCCCGTTCTAGTCTGTCCACCTCACAGCCTCCAGCCTATCTTTAATCTCATTAACTCTTTTAGAAAATCTCAATTCGACACAATCTGTGCATTAGATGTTGAATTTAATTTATATCCTGGAGGTTTAGTATCAGAAGACCAGGCAACTCTTACATGCACTCAAAGATTGTAAGTGATTATAGGTTCTTTTGAAGGTGTTTATCACTCTGGCAGAGGTGTGCTGGAGCTGGTTTTTTGGCTTCCCACAGCTAGTTCTGCACAGCTCTTCCTAACTCATCATCCTGTTAAATCTCGTTGGTACCTTGAAAATGCCCATGATGGGAGTATTAATACCATAGAAATGGGCAAACACCACCCATTGGGCTTTTTGTCCAGGAGCACCAGTTTACTAGCACACTGTTGGCTGTAGCCAATCCACACTATAATCAGCTTATGCTAAATTAATGAATGAATTTATTCAAGCATCGTGAAAGTAAATCTTATGGAGAAGAGAAAGTAGAAAAGAAAACAAAACAAGCTATATTCCAAAGGAAAATAATTATTTGGGGATTGTCTGTTACCACCTTCCCACATTAGAGAGGATAACAGAATTAACTATGTTAAGTTACAACTCATTCTAATTCCTTATAGGTTACTACTGATGATGGTGTAACACTGAATTGTTTATAATATCAGTATTTCAGGATTCAAATTGGTTCAGAAAGAAAGCTTAGAAATCTATTTGTATTTCTTTGTTTCTTGTATATTTAAAATGAAAATCTTGAGATAAGCATTTTTCTTCAAATATTGTAGGTAAATTTGAGATTAGCCTCTCATATTCTTATGCCAGAGCTGTTTCTAACAATAGATGATTTTCAATTATAGTAAAACCATATTATAATGAAAATTTAATATGCCACAGCTAACACTACTTTCTAACCAAAATAATAGATAATACATTTACGTAAGCCTCTCAAACAACTGTTGAGTACAGTTTGAATACCAAATTATAAAAACTATTTTGAGTTTTATAGATGAAATTAAAAATTTTTTGTTTGCTTTAAACTTTACTCATCCTTACTAAATTTCAGTAGGTTATTCAGAACCTCTGCCAACAATCCCTCCAGCCCTGGGATAGAGCTTGATAAGATTATCACATTGGAATCAGTAAAAATATGTTGAAATGATATCCTTAAAACTCTTTATTTTAATAGTTTGATATTTTTATTTCATGCAAATTTACTAATTTATTTCATTTTTTATGAAACCATTTAAAGTAAGTTTTCATCAAAACAAAGTTAGATAATGGCCTTTCATGTAAATGACCCCTGGGGTTCTTTTGTGGCAGTTTCTTGCTTTCTTATGAAAACACCTGAATTCATTTTAGTTTAACAATGAGCACAAGAATCAAAGGGATGAAGTCTCTATTTTTGTCCCAGCCCTCCTGTGATGCAAGTTATATAACATTGTTAGGATACCAAGGACTCTGGTGTAGTTTTCAGTGACTCCCAACAGTACTCCGTTTCATTGAAGGGGGGCAGTTTTCACCATTCCCATTTTCTAATTTTTCTCTCTAATGTCAAACTTTTACTTATGCCTCTGTGGCTCTGGATTATCTGGATAAGTGCAACCTAAGTCTAATAAGATTTTCATGATGAAAGACTGTAAATGAAGATCCGCTGTGCTCTGTGGGCATGAGAAAAACTGGCTGAATGAGGTCATTATTTAAACCTGTGTAAAACAAAGCCATCTTATTCCTGTGTGTTAGGTCTCGAGGTAAAGGACAGCATGGCACTACAGAAAGCATTCCATAATGTGTTATCTGAGTTCACTAACTTTGGGTCTTTCTGTAACCTCTCATTTTAAGACATCTTTTTCTCAGATCTATATAATATTATATGTGTAGTTTCAATAACAAAGTGTACCACGTAAAAATCTTGTTTTTTTTACATTAAGCTTCAACATTATTATCTTTTCTATCTAAACTTCTTAAAATACGTGGATTTGGCCAAAATAATAATAGCTAACACTTATTGGGCCTTTACAATATGCCAGTTAAAGTGCTAAATGATTTACATGTGTTATCTAATGCAATAATCCTTTATAGTAGACTGGAGGCCCAGTGCACGAAATCCATGCACTGGTAGGGTCCCTAGTGGCTGCCGGCCAGGGCCTCCCTCTCTTCCCCCAGCCACCCCCTGGTCGAACTCCCAGAGGAACTCCCGGTCGAGGGGACAATTTGCATACTACGCTTTTATCATCTAGGATACTTTGTTATTCCTGAGGATAATATCCTCAGAGAGACTGACTTCACCACAGTCACTTAAACTAATAAAGAAAAAAGTCAGGACTCAAAGCCAGACTCTGACTCCTGCACTTCATCGTATTTGCTCACCACACTACTGCTTATTTGTGAAGTAAACAGCTTTCTAAAACACCAACCCTCCTCCTCTGACCTATTTTGTCCTTCCCACATTCCGTTCTTTTAGCTGCTAGATGGCTACCCCAGTTCCTCATGCTGACTTCTGATTGGCTAGGTCCTTCACTCTTATGCTCCCTTTAGGCATGCCTTCTCAAATATTTCCTTCTCCTAATTTAAGCTGTTCTGTGGGTAATAAACTGATTAGACTCGATTGTATACAATCACAAAAAAAATGTCTATAATAAACATGAGATATCTCTCCTGCCACGCCCCTCAAGGTCTTATGCTTTTTTTCAAAGCATCTTACAGCTGCCAATCAGAATATTTGTATATTTCTTTTAAACACATATTCTAATTTTATCCTCAGAATTGTTATTATAGATAGGGTTATTCCCATTTTACAGAAAAGGTAGTTGAAAGTCAGAAAGTCAGTGAACCCAGGTCATCTGATTTTAAAGCCTGCTGTTTCCATTCCAGCAGTCTGCGTTCTCAACCTGTAGCTACTGGTGAAGTAGTAGTCCCTTTTGAGCAGTACTCAAAATTACACTAATCTGCCATATATGGAGCCCTGAAAAGCTGGCATCACTAATCCTATAGAATAAAGAGGTAATATGCAAATCAACCCTCATGCCCTCACAAGATGGCTGCCTACGACCAGGCCGGCAGGGGGGTTAGTGAGGGACGACCAAACGACTGAACAGCAGGCTGCGTGGGGCGACCAGGCCGGCAGGAGGGCCGTGAGGGGCAACCAGGCTGGCAGAGGGGAAGCAGCTGGGGGCACCCAGGTCAGCAGGGGGAGCAGTTGGGGGCAACCAGGCAGGCAGGCAGGTGAGTGATTAGGAGCCAGTGGTCTAGGATTGTGAAAGGGATGTTCAGGATCGGGCCTAAACCAGCAGTTGGACATCCCCCAAGGGGTCTCAGATTGGAGAGGGTGCAGGCTGGGCTGAGGGGACCCCCCCCCCATGCATGAATTTCGTGCACCAGGCCTCTAGTATGGTTTATTTAAAAGGTGGTATATGACACCTGTTTTTCGGGCTGTGTTATTTTCCCTCTAGCAATCAGATCTTCAGAGAAGTTGGTTATACTGTAGGGAACTTCTTGATTATTCCAACTCCTGAGAATACTTGGGACTACTTCTCAGCAAACTAAGCTGAGAAATAGTAAAGATCTTCTATACCAATTAATAAGGAGTTATATGCTAGAGATCATTTTAAAAATTCAAACTAAATTACTTAAATACAAATAGATTAGATTACTGAGAATGTCAACAATTTTAGATCATATAAAGCTGAAGATATCCTACATGTTGGAGTTTTTAGAGAGAGAGGAGTAATCAGTGTAGCAGAGAAATCACTTTAGAAAAGGTGTCATGGATTCAAAGCGGACATGCTGGAGGGAAGAGTATAACCCCATACTAGTCTTTAGAAAAGAATAATATTTGGTTTAGGGAGAAATGAAATAAAGGTCCTATACTAGTAAATGTTATGTAGGATAAAATAGCTATCTTCATGAAAGAGGGCTATAAAGAATCAAAGAATTACCAAAATTTAGAGTGTGGAAGAGGAGAAAAGGACTGATCCTTTGTAAAAGAATATATGCTTTCTATTTCCTATGTGTGTGTTTTTTATGGAGTACTTATTGTCAGGGTTCTGGCCGAGAAATAATACATTTCAAATATGTCCCTTTTAATAGAGAAAATGGTAGTTATTATATAACTCTTAATTTGCAGTATAATATATGGGAAAGGTACAGTTATGTGAAATTTATCATTTTTTACCTGAATTTCTAAGCTAGGTATGAGTTAATGGCCAAATGAAGAAGGAAGGGAAGAAAAAGAAAGGACTGGAACAGAAGTGGAAGGTGGGAGGAATGGGGGGATGGTGGGGGGGGAAGCAGGGGAAAGAAAGGAAAAACCTATAAAGCTACATAAAAGGAAATAATGAAGATTTTCCACAAGCCATTGAACTTTATAAGGACTATAATTAAGCTATTTTAAGAATACACTTGTTGGAACTTGGTTTATCAAGTTGAATGGGAAAGGAAATACCCTCTGGAATTTTTCAAAAAATGTAAGACTTTTCTTTGAAAAAACTGTAAATGATGTAAATTTCAAAGTATTACTACTGTAGTTTCTATTTTAAATTATAGTATCTTCTACCTAAATTACCATAAATATGGAATACAGTAAAAAAGTATTATAGTTTAAGTTCTTTTGTAAAGCTTCAGACCATTTCTTTGTCAGCCCCATATGTTCTATACATCTGAAGACTTTATCTATTTTGAACATCCTAAAAAAAAGGATTTTCATGTTGATTAAGAAAATTCCACTATAAATTACTTAAGTACAAATAAAATATTTAGGTGATTACTAAAAGAGTTCAACTATTTTAAATAATTTAAAATATAGGTACCTTTTTTGCATAATTTGAGGTAGGAAACTTCCTAAAATATATAATCATATCTTTAAAAATTTTTTAGGATAAAGATAGGTTTTGTTCATATTTCTATTTTCTAATTTTGAACTTCATTTTAAATGTAATGGCATTTATTAATACAGCCTTACACTTTTCATTCTAATGTTAATATATTTATATCCTGGATATTTATATATTGATAAAATTCTTTGAGATATATTGGGTATCTTCTGTTTGCTCATTGCAGCTAACCTTTCAATTGTGATTTTTTTTTTAAGCGTGCTGATGACATTATGAGTTTGGTAACAGATACCACACTTCTTGTACACTTTTTTGGAAAGAAAGGAAGAGCTGAGCTCAACTTTGAAGATTTTTATAGGTGAGCTTAATTTTTATATTTGTGTTGAAAAAAAATGTTAACATGCTAAAGTCAGAAACACCTAGTGCAGTGATACCTTTTCTCTGCTTTCATCTTAACTTGAGGTACTATGTCTAACAAATATCCACTTCTGTGAGTACCTTTATACCAGTGGTTTTATTGATAAGAATAATAGGAAATTACTGAATGATAAAAAAAAATGTGTGGATATCTGGATTGTTATTTCCTATACATTCAGAAGTACTGCAGTCAACACTACACATCACACATTAACTCCTTTAAGTCTCATCACTGCCCTGCAAGGTTTTTTGTGATCCCCATTTTACTGACGAGGAAGCCAAAGCCCTGAGAAGCTGAGTGCCATTTGTTACCATCAACACTCTTCATTTATCTCATTCATTCTTTATCCCTTCTTGCCATAGATTCATGGATAACCTCCAAACAGAAGTTTTAGAAATAGAATTCCTTTCCTACTCTAATGGAATGAATACCATCAGTGAAGAAGATTTTGCTCATATTCTTTTACGATATACAAATGTGGAAAATACATCCGTATTTTTGGAAAATGTGCGTTACAGTATAGCTGAAGAAAAGGTATCTAATACCCTATTTTTACTTTATTACATGTGCTATTATCTTGTAATTATATAAGTCTATAAATATATTGTTCTTTGTTAGTTCTTTTGCTCTGTGAATTAATAGATACTTTGGATATTTTTTTCCTATGTGTCCTAAGTTTTCTGGCTAAATTTTAAAAATGGCTTAATTTAAAATTCTGGGTAGGTATTCATATTTTTCTTAGGTATGCTAAAAGCCCATAAGGTTGTTAACAATTATTTTATTCAAATTATGAATATCATTTTTCAAGAGAATTCTGCTGAACTATAGACTGTGACTACTATATAAACATCACCTCATACAAAGCAGTTTATATTGACATCAGTCACACTTGATTCATTTCTATAACATCCTTAGTAAAAGGTCATTTGAAGATGGCCATTGGTGAGTGAATGATCTTATCAGCAGTTGAAGTGAGGTTTTTCAAAGAGTTTGGATGGCATGAATGGTTAAGGACCTGGAACAACTGATTGTCTATTTGTTTAGTAGCAAGTGTTTTGTCAGCAATTCTGTGCAGTTGTGCATTATCTAGTGGCATTTGAATGCATCGTTGCAACCAAATAGAACTGGTGTTACAAGCACCCCGTCAAGCATGGGATGTTTTGGATATATTGCCTTCTATTTGTGTTTGTAGAAGGATCAAGGTAATCTATCCAAGAAAGACTTGCAAATAGTTTGACTTTGTATAAAATGGATACCTGGTGACAGTGCTAACAATTCTCCAGGAGAAAAAAGGACTCGATGTATTTGGCCATTAGTTTTACATAATCTCTCAGTTAGGGGTCTTTTATCAGTTTTACATGTTAAACTGATTTTTTTTTTTGATTCATAGACACTTCCCTAAAAATAAATATTGAAATTGTACTATGTCAAATTACTAGGGTATTTTTAGGGTCTTAAAGAATCCTACAGTGCTGAGGAAGGTAAGGGAAACCTGATCCCTTGTTGGGCCTCTTCACATTGCTGCTGACCAGTAAATGGTATCTTTGAGAGAAAAAAAGAAAAAGAAAAACAGTGAATCTCTCCAATGATATCCCAAATTTGATGATCAAACCCTTGAGAGTGCTAGGCAGTTAACTCTAATATGATGAAAACTTCTGCAATGGGGGGAAAGATCCCGGGGTGTCAGAACCTGAAAGCGTCTTAAAGCGATCACCTATTCAATCCCACCCTTGTACAGTCAAGAAAACTAAGGCTCAAACTGGTGAGGGCACTTGCTAGTTGGGGAGGAATTAACAGTAGAGATGTTATGATTTCCCAGTCTAGTGACTTAAGGACCTGCTTTAACAATCACTGCACCAGGCCTCTAGTAATGTATATATTGATACACATTATATGGTGTCCCCAGATTCCTTAGGTTCTGTGCATTTTTCTTCATGCTTTTTTCTTTCTGCTCTTCAGATTGAATAATTTCAATTGTCCTGTCTTTAAGTTCATTGTCTCTTTCTTCTACTCGCTCAAATCTACTTTTGAACCTCTAGTCAGTTTTTCATTTCTGTTACTATACTTTTCAGCTCTAGAATTTTTTTTTTTTTTGGTTTCTTGTTTTACAATTTCTGTTTAATTATTTTGTTAATACATAGTTTTCCTGATTTCCTTTAGTTCTTTGTTCATGGTTTCCTTTAGCTCTTTTGAAAATATTTAAGACAATTTGTTCAAAGTCTTTTTCTTTTTAGTCCATTGTCTGAGCTTCCTCAGGGATGGTTTCTGTTGACATATTTTTTCTATTTCTTTATACTTATTGTAATTTTTGCTAAAAACTAAACATTTGAATATTATAATGTAGTAACTCTGGAAATCAGATTCTCTTCCACAGTTTATTTGTATTCTTTGTCATGTACAGTTGCTAATGATTATGTTCCATTATCTTAGTGGTTAGCCAGAGAACTGATAGAAATTTTCTTAAATGCCCAGAGCCAGGAAGAAAATAGATAGTATTCTCCCTGAAAGTATTGACATTTATATTTACAATTTGCTTAAAAATATCCCATCCTCCTGTTTTTCACTTTTACTAGCAATTAACATGTCACCCTGAGACAGAGACTGTTGCTGTGGCATCTGGTCGCAGCATACACTGATTCAGAGCCAGAACAGTGACCAGTTTCCCTGGCAACAAGCTCTCCACAGCAGGACAAACCCCTTCTGGCTCCGTCTCCCTAATTGATTCGAATGGTCCTCTCTGGAAAACATGACAGGTGGGATTGGGTCACAAAGCAGAATTCAGGTTTGGAACAGGCGACCCTGAATGTAAGAAAAGAGAAAGAGAAAAATGTGAAAAGACAGTGAGGATTCTCCTTGCAAATAAAGAGGGATTGTAATTAAAGTGGGAATAATGTATATAAAACTTTGTTCTTATTTTGATAAGAAACTTATAATAAATATTATTTTGATAATAAACCACTTAATCAGTAGTTGGCTTGCACGAAAATAGGCTCTTCTGGTTTTTTCTCTAGCTTTCCAGTGCAGCCTTGTTAGTATGCCTTCCCCTACATTCAGGTCAGAATTGGTTAAGCCTAAGCTCTTGGCCCTCGCTCTTTTCAGTTTACCTTTTCTTTCAATTACATTAATTTACTGAGTAGAACACTTAATTAAATGCAGCTCTTAATGCCCAAATTTGTATTATTTGAAATATGTGGTATTTATTTTAAATAACTTCCCTATTTAATTCAAGTAATAGTAGTGGCAATAATTGTAGCTTATGTAAATGACATTCCAGAGTCCTGTCCATGATCCCACACCAAGCCCTGCATCAGGCCTCCCTGAGCTGTATGTACAGTCACTACGCTTCCTCCTGCTGTGCTGGCCATGCTCTCGCAGCAGGAGCAAGTAAAAATACACTACTGTTGGCTTATTTTCATTTTTCATTGTCATTATAAAGATATTGATGATCATCATACAATGTTAAATTATATTTAATGAGTATATGTACAGTGGAAACTTTTTTTTAGGTGTCTTTTTAAAACTCTTCTTTTTTCGTTCATCATCATATTTACTTTCAGGGTTTAAAAAATTCAGGCCTGCAATGCAGAGTTTTCGAAATTGAAGCTTTTCTATCCATTTTCATTGTAGCAATTTTTTGGAACTTTGTGCTGATATGAGAGTATTTTTAAAATATTTTCACCTAACATTGCTAGTGGTAGCAACACTGCCAAGTAAAAAAAAAAAAAAATCTGAGTGAATTTTACATTCCATCTGGAGAAAGGTTTCAGAATGTGCCCTAGAAATGTTCACTTGCAAGTTATATTGCACATGCTTAGTCTATTTCTTTCTAGTAAATGTAGGTATTTATTTTAATAAATTTGGTCACACTAAAATCTATTTACACATATTTTCTCAATATAGGGCATCACATTTGATGAATTCAGGTCATTTTTCCAGTTTTTGAACAACCTAGAAGATTTTGCAATAGCCTTGAATATGTATAACTTTGCAAGTCGTTCTATAGGGCAAGGTAAGTAATAATCTTTCAGAAATTAAAAGCAAAAAATAACCCTACATTGTTTCTAGGGACTTTGACAGCAAATTAATTAGATATAATAGCATATTAGCCATCAGTTGCCTGAAAGTTTGTTGTGTTCTTCAATGGGAAATCTGTTTTCCCTAAGCAGAGTTTAGGGAAATAGGCTAAATATTTGTATAACAATATGCAATATACAGATGATGTATTATAGAATTATACACCTAAAACCTATATAATTTTATTAACCAGTATCACCCCAATAAGTTCAATAAATAAATAAAAATGTTATTGCCCTTCATTTCTTACTATGGGGGGAAGCTAATGATGTTTGTAAAAGTTCAAAGAGAAAAACACCTCATGACTGCTTGGTAACATTGAAGGATGTGTGTCTACTTATGGAAGAGCCAGCTAGTCATGCCTCAGCCATCATCACAGGATGATGCATGTTACCACAATCCCTGTGGCTCAGAAACCTGAATTTTGTCAACAAAGGCCTCCTCTTAGCTATGGACTCACATTAACCATGTTTTAAGAATGGTATGTAAAATTGAATGTCAATTTTGCTTAATTTTACAAAGAAATACAACTGTCATAGAATCCAGTGCTGTTGACCTCAGAACCAGCTCTTTCTTTCCCTGTAGGTAGACCAACAAGTCAAGTCCTTTTCTAGAATTCTATGGCCATAACTACTCTCCTTTCTTCCCTCATGGCAATATCCTTTTTAAATATTCTTGCCATACAAGGACTTTCTGCTCATGTGTTTAAGATGATTTGACCTGTGTCTGCCATAATCCATTTTCCAAATGTAACCTAAGGGGACAGAACTTACTGTTTTATTGCCAAGCTCCAGGGAGAAGCCAAACTGCAGCCCATGAGCACCAATAATAATTATCTCTCTCCCAAAAGCATGGAGATTGAGTCCCTCATATGGCTTCACTCATTTATTCATTGAGGAAGAGAAACCTGAAAATTTGTCATTTTACCTTTGATCTATTCTAGATGTTCAAATAGGGCATCTTCTCAATTCAACCCATTTTCGTGAAGGAACCCAGCCATTCCAGACTAGCGTTTACTACCATGATAAAACTATTAATCAACCACAAGAGAAAAAAAAGTCTGGTTCAGAATGGACAGTTACTGTTTCACTTTGTGGAACTGGGAAATGGAAAAAATCGATTGTGTACTTTTGCAGGTGCTAGGAATATATCTATCTCTTAATTTTCTGTTGTCACTGCTAGCACCTTAATTCAGGTTATTATTACCTCTTAAAAGGATCTGGTATTCCTGCAAATATCCACATCCCTCTCCAATATTTCCTAGACAACTCACAGAATAATCTTTCGAAAACACTGATTAGCCTTTCTACATGCCTGCTATGGAAAATTCTTTAGTTCCCCAGCTGCCTGTTGAAGAATATACAGGTTCCTCACCTCAAAGTCCCTGTACAGAGCTTCTCCAGCTCTTATATGTCCAGACTGCTCCTTGTTTTCTGAATGTGTTTTATACCCTCCTGAACCCTCCATGCCTTTGTGCATGTCATCTCATCTGCCATTTCTCTCATCTCTACAAGCTGAAATCTTCTATCCTTGGGGCTCAGCTCAGATACAAAATTGCAGCTTTTCCTAATCACTGCTCTTCTCTCTCCTTTCCCTACTCCATGCTACAGACAGAAGTAATCACTCATTTCCAAATTCTCATAGTGCTTTGTTGGTACTTTCGTGTGGTCCTGTGTATGGTTATTTGGGCAGATGTCTCATCTCCTATTGGAACTGTAAGAGAACTAAAGTATCTGTCACTGATAGTAGGTGCTCATTAAACATTCATTGAATATGAATGCATATTAAACTAAAATACAGTTATTCTTGGCCCTTTAAATTAAAACTACAAAAGCTGGATAAAAAAAAGACGTGGTACTTTTACACCATGGAATACTATGCAGCTGTAAAAAAGAAGGCTCTCTTACCCTTTGAGACAGCATGGAGGGACCTGGAGAGTATTATGCTAAGCAAAATAAGCCAGTCAGAGAAAGACTAGTATCACCTGATCTCACTCATACATGGAATCTAATGAATAAAATAAAATGATGAACAGAATAGATCCAGAGACACAGAAGCATGG